CTATAAACTCTTCAGAGAATCGTTGTGCAGTTTCACTGAATGAAGACTTAGAACAGTCACCAATAAACTCCTCTTGATGTGAAAAAAAAAGTTCGTTAATTGTGATGTTTAATAATGACTGAACGCTGGGTTTAGAATCAAGATCTGAAGGGCTAATGAGCATAAACGGGTCTATTGGCGCTTTTGTCTCAAACGTCCATTGTGAAACAATCCTAGTTTTAACATGAGTGCGCATCCGCTGTCGCAGTCCCTCTCAGTCATTCCTCTCATCGGGTGCAGCCAAACCGCTTGCCTACAGCAACCGTAACCGCTGCCTCTTATTAAGCCAAAACGATAGTAATTAGCATGTCTCTTCTTAAACCATAATTATGACAATAAGAAGAAATTAAAAAAAAAGCCCTGAATAATCAAACAAGCAATAACTCCACGTGTCACTTTTTTTTGGTGACGTATTCTGAAAAACAGATATGCGATATGTACATTAAAACAAATATAATATTAAAAAGCCGCAGCTCAAACAAGATCACAGACTTACAGTGAGTGAGGTTTAGCGTTCAGGCTTCGGTTTCTTGGTCAGGCTCAGGCTTCAGCTCCGCGCTCGGGCTCTGGTTCTGTTCCGGTTGTCAGGCTCTGGTGGAGTCTCTCGCAGCGCGGGGCGTGAGTCGATGTAATCGCTCGTGCAAGGTCAACACTGGACACGGGCTTCGGAGGAGGAACTTTGCCTCCTTTTCAGTTCTAATAACAATACCACATTCACTAGTAATCAAAATGGCATACATGGGCTGAATGGCGGAGGCTCCACAATACTAGGCTAGCTCACTGCCCAATAAAGCTTAATGAAATAAGACTTCTGTCCAAATAAATACTATTACTGTGATGTCCGACCGTTTCAAATTTTGAGCGTAGTATCGTTGACGGTCGCTAGCGCTGTCGGCTCCGGCTGCCGCCTCCGAGGCTCCGGGCTCCGCTCCGCCCAATCTCGATAGCCCGCGTCTGACGTGTGTGGAGGGTATGGTGTAGGTGATGTGCGATGACTCCTATCCACACTTCTAGAACACAGCCATCCCCACCTTCGCATCATCATTCTAAATGATTGCAAAAACAACAGAATCCAACAATTGGCTTCTAGCTCTATAATTTGGGAAGATTTTTATGTATTCATCAGAAACTCTACTTGACTTCCTGAGTACTGAACAGAAGAAGAAAACCATACGCAAAACCCGTGATAAAATTACCTCCACTCTTTCCTCACGCAAATTTCGCGAGAGCCGCCATGGGTCGCTTCAGGGTTCCCAAGTCCCATTTCATTCATTGGGAACAATGGGTCGGGCTGAACCAACTATGTAAAAGCTGTGAACCACTTGTGCTGTGAAGACACCTTTATCAGCAAAAGAGCTCAACAAACACACGATTGATTGAGCTTCAAAGAAGGAGGTATGCTGGTTCCAGGTGTGAGTTTTGGGAACGAAACAGTGTACACATAATTATCAAATGTACAAATAAAGGGATGAGAAGTCAATGGAGAGAGAATGAGAGGGTTCAGTGCAGTTGAGAAGAACATCATATTTTGCTAAGGTCCCTATCAGACGACAGACCTTGATTCCCATCATCCATAAACGTTGCTCCAAAACTGTCCGGATCCGGATCGAATGGAGGAGGCTGAAAGCACGAGTGTTCAGGTGCACAGCCAAAGAAAAACAGGTTGGAAACGTGTGTTCAAGTGAAGAAACACCAAAAAAGTTCCGTGAGTCTCAGTAAGATGACTCGCTATGTGTACTAAAGCCACTTCACGCTCAAGACTAATCGTTTTTTTTTGCATTGTAGCTCAAAGAGGCAGGGAAACTGGGCTGGAGTGTGACGATACTCGTGGACGGCTTCATTCTGTCCACGCTATGCTTAAAGGCACGGTCCGCGATCAGGTATAGAAGTTGAAAATATGGCATTGGAGGGTAGTGTAGTCCGAGGAACAACCTTGTACCGGTTTCGCGGCAAAAAATTGTAAGGGAGGGGCGCTATAACGCAATATAGGTTCAGTGACGCCTCCTTTTTTCCAGTGACTCCGCCTCCGACTCCGCCTTCAAGAGCCCGTCTTTCAGTGATAAACGAAGCTGCTGAACGAAAAAGCATGCAGATCGTCATTTGTACGTTCGTAGACTTCTTGGTAATGCGCAGCTGTGCGGATTAGGCGTACTGTTGGAGAAGGAGTTCATTGGGCACTAAAAACTGGGATCAGAATGGGGTTCTGTTTATGGCAGTTGGCATGTTTTTTCTGCTTTTTTTCACTGTCGAGTTACTCAGCACCTTGTCATCTATATGCAAACCTCTAGTCCACTATCTGTCATGGAGAATGATCGCGGGCTTCGCCTTCGAGGTACAGGTCAGTGCCAAAGCCGCTCAGCGACACTCAGAAGTGAGAGGGCGCAGATAACTAACGCGTTCGGCTATTATTCGGCGTGTGGCTGGCCGCGTGGTAACGCTGGGCGGATTACAGAGTTGGCACCGGAGTATGACTATCCTTCAAAATCGTTTCAGTGCAGCTGCGAGCCCCCTCACCTTACATATGGCAAGAAATAGGATCTACCGGGGTGAGTGTACCGTTTATTTTGAACTAATTAGGTTCTGAAGCGAGAAGCCGTATTGGACGAATCACATCCTGTTTTGCCATTCTTTTCGTCTCCGTACGAGCTCATTGATCCCTGCTCATCCGTTACACATTCTTACCCCGGCATCAGTCAATCCTTCGTTCTGCACGGTAGCCTTTTTCTGTTTTCTAGGAAGGAATTACGGCTGGAACAGATGTTCCATGGCACTTCAGCAGAAGTGAAAAGAGGACGAACGTCTGTGATCCTGTACGCCATCGCTAAAAGCCTTGTAGCAAAGCGAGGTCTTCCTCTGCTGTCATGGTCATTCCAAATGATTCATACACCGTCGTAATCACTTTGATACGATGATCTCAGATCCATTTTTCAGTCACCACTGCTGGTTTCAAAGTCATAGGTAGAATGGGAGGTAAAAGGCTCCCCCTGATGCCATGCGTGGCACCACAGGAAGCCCCTTTCTTTCCCCTCAGAAGGCGCTCATACGTAGTAAAACTTAGTGGAACAAGTGACGTAACGTAGTGGAACAAGGTGCGGAACTAGTTTTCCGTCTAATGTATGCGAGCTTCAGAGGGTTGCCCTACCGCTTGCTGTATCAACAATACGACCCCCCCCCCTGTAGATTATGGAATACCCGGGTCTCGAAGAACCGGCATGTCATAAGGAACATGTACCACACTGCCTGCTAGTATGGTAAATTGCCTGAATTTTTAGTTTGTCGAGCCCCTTGCCTTGGGGCTGTTAGCACAAGCGCGATACTTTCCCGTGCTTCGCCTCATCCATTTGGCTTCAGCTCCTGCCCTATTTAAATATTTCACTTTACTTTGTTCTACGACAATCCAAACAAATTGTAGAAAGCTGAACGGGGACAGTTAAGAGCTCACCCGCAATGTTTCAATT